CGCAACAACAATGTAAATAAAGTCCAAAAATGCAGCAAAACACTCTAAAATCCTTACTGATTAAAAAATGTGTTGAATGTGACATAGTAATGTTACAAGAAACACATCTTTATAAGAAACAAACATGAAAATTTAAAAAAAGCTGGGTTGGACAGATATTTTAATCTCCAGGGACTGCTGCTTCTAAAAGGTGTCCATATTTTGATCTCCAAATCAATACAATTTGCAGTTAAAAAAAAAAAATCTGCACCTGCAAGGTAATTTGTTTTGCAATTTAAAAAGTAGGTATATGAAATTTAAGACATCTTGGGTATGTATGTCATAAATGCTTCATACACAAATTTGTTGACTAATTTGTTCATGGGTAAAGATGATCAAATCTGGAGCTCTGCCCATTTCAAAACATTGAAAAGTATTTTGGTTTCAACTGGAGATGAGGACTGTCCTCTCCACCCTGTAGGGCAGGGGTGCCCAAGTCCAGAGAGCTACCATCCTGCAAGTTTTAGAAGTATCCTTACTCCAAGAGACCGGGATCAGCTCTACAGAGGCCTGATAACGAGCCATTCATTTGATTCAGGTGTGTTGAAAGTTGCAGGATGGTAGCTCTCGAGGACTGGACTTGGACACCCCTGCTGTAGGGTTAGGGTTGATTTTGTTTACTTTTGTTTGTTTACATAAAGTTATGAAAATCAATAAAAAAAATAAAAGTATTGTGGTAGAAGATTGATAGTGAGCACTTCTAATCCAGAATTATACTTATCACTTTAGGAATATATTACAAATGTTTTGTGTGTAAGTTGGTTATGTGTCCAGATACTGTGATTGTGTAGTGATGGTTGTGTATACAGTACCAGTGTCAAGCATAGAAAAATACATAATACAGGCTTATTGTTGCATGGCCGTTGTCTCTGAGGGATTTCTGATATTACATTGAACAGATGCTATCCACGCATTATTCTTTCAGAATAAGATCAAAACTGGAGCTTTTGGGCTGTGGTACATCAGTGTAAATAATTGCCCCCATTCCCCTCATTCCCAGCTCATAATGTGTTTTTGTCATATCATGTTATCTTTTGTTACATTGCTGGTTAATATATTCATGAACATACGTGATCCAATTTATTTTTATTTTATTTTATTTCCTTTATTTAACCAGGTAAACCCCATTGAGATCTAGATCTCATTTTCAAGGGGGACCTGGGCAGAAGTCTGCAGTACATAGCAACCTGGTTACAAAACAAAATTGATTAATACTACATATACACAATTATAAAACAGATTTAAACAATTTAAAAACAGTAACACTGTTTAAAAGATTCTCGTTGCCTGTTTTTAAGAATCGCTCGAAATAAATCCAGTGAAATCAAAATAAATCCAGTGAAACCAATAGCCTGCTCAGAGTTTGGATCTGATCAAAATGTGTTGTAGCCAAACAGTCTCCATGATCCAGGAGAAACCCCAGTCTCCTTAGGAGCAAGTCAGGGAAAATATGAAGAAACACTGAAAACTGCATCTGGTGTTCTGCTTGGACCAAAGAGATACAGATAAAACAATAACATTCAAAACAGCTGGCAGCTGGTCAGTCATTCTTCTCTCTTCGTGCTCGCCCTTTGCAGTGGCGCAGGACACAGCGAAGCGCCACCCAGCAGAGGGTGGAGCAAAGAGCTATGATGAACAGTATAGTGACTCCTGTGTCCAAGCTGTAGTACTGGAACCAGTACAGGTCATGTGACGCCAGCCTCAGGTGTTTAGCTCCTCCATGCCGCATCACAAACTCCAACCAGAAGGCGGCAGTGTTCAGTGGTGCCACTGGCTGCTGATGCTGCAGCGAAGACAGCTGCTGCATGTTGGACCTGAAACTGAGCATCATAGGAAGAAAAACAAGTCAACACTTTTACAGTGAAGATGCTGCAACAAGAACAGGTCAGGAGATTTATTTCAGAGACAACACTCATAAACAAGCACCCTTTCAAACTAAAATCCTGCTTCCTGTGATGTTACTGTGAGGATTTGTTTTCTTTCCGTGTTAATTTGGTTCCTGTGCCGTCTCCTGCCCCTGATTGCTCCCAGCTGTGTCTCATGTTCCCTGATTACCTGCCCTGTGTACTTAATCCCACCAGCGTTTCTTGTTCCCCATCAGATCCTTCTCGTGTCATGCTTTTGTTTAGCAACAACCAGTTACTAAATGTTGTCTTGTCTCATCACTCACCTCTGCAGCCTAAATTTCTGTACACTTATTAAAAACATTTGCATCTTAACCTGGGTCCAACCCCATCTAACGCGCCACCTCTAACAAAAACTCGTAAAAATTACCCTCACCTGGGTTCATTGATAACGGCATGCAGCGCCTGCACCAGCTCATCCGCTGTCATGCGGTTGAAGTGGAGGATAACAGCGGCACCGCGGCGGCTCAGACGGGCCAGATTGTCTGGCTGATCACCAAACAGCGGGATGCCGACCACTGGAACGCCATGAAACAATGCCTCGTATAAACCGTTCGTCCCGCCGTGTGTCACAAAGGCACGGGTCAGTTGGTGTCCTGAAGGTCACAGGGCTCTTATTGTGAAGGTTTTATTTAAAAAAAAAAAGAAAAAAGAAAGCTGCCGCTGATTTACTACCAAATGACAAATTCACAGTTTTACTTTGAAAAGCTCTAGGAGGAAGAGGAAGGAAAGAGAGCAGACTTTTAGTTTGAAAAGCTGAGACAGGAAGTTTTACCAAGCAAGTCATTCTGAGGAATCCAATGTAAAATTTTTGTATTTGGTGACAGAGTTGTCGGGGTTTTGCCATGATAACGCCAAATTACCTGAAAGATGTCACATGACAACAGTGGTTAAGTGGTGAGAGAAAACGGTGACAGGAAGTGAGTGGGTGGAGCCTCTGACCTTCTGTGGTAGTCGTCCCAAAGCAGAGGCAATGACATTAGCTCTGTCTGGTGCCAGATTGGTTACCATGGAGCCGAAGGTGACAAGCACTACGCCAGCATCTCCAGAGCTCTGCACAAAGGCTTCCAGGTCCTGCAGGAAGTGCCACAAGCTTAATGTAATTTAATAACTTTGAGCTGTAAGTGAAACAGGAAGTTGAACCATGCCTCTGGCAGCGGATGGGCTGGTCTGCAGTGAAGACCCCCCACATAGAAAAAGTTTGGAGGTATTGGCCGTGGCGTCTCGATGTCCCAGAAGGTCCTGATCAGCCAGACATCAGCCCTCCCCAGGGAGCTACAGAAGCTGCTAGGACTTCCTGTTTACAGAAATGCAACCCAGATGGTTTTTTCTGGAGGAAAAGCACTTCAGAAATTCAACTCAAACCCTGACAGTCTGAATGTATTTTCTGGTATTTGCCCAAAGTCACCTTTGATCATGAGGGGTGATGGACATGCCTTCTTCAGTCTTTATATCTAGCATACCAGCCAAACAAATTTGCAGCAGATAAACAAACATCATATTTCAACATTAGAAATATGATAAACCTGTGAAGCAGATTGCAGCTGTGGCACTATAGAATAAAACTTAGAGCTCTGATGGAGCGGATGTCTCCTCCCTGGTCCTACCCTGTGGGGGGTTCATGCTCTCTTTTTGGGGATTTTTAGAATGGACTGAAATGATAAAGATGATAAGCACCAACCTTTGATCTCAGTGTAGAAAGAATCAAGTGTCGTTTTCCAATAAAATTCGTTCAACACAGACATCCCTGTGTAGGTCAGCATGTTGAGCAGCCGTTCCCAGAAAGTCATGTGGTCGCTGTATGGCAGTGGAGACGCGGGGATGAAGGATGCCGGCATCGGTGCTTGGCCGCAGTGACGCTCCAAGGTGCTGCCGAATGAGAACCGCAGCGAAAGGACCAGAGGCACACCGAGCATATCGGCCACCAGATCGCCACACATCACCATGGGGTCCAAGATGACCACATCAAAAGCGGCGTCACGCAGGGTCGCCATCAACTGCTGGTTTTTCAGCATGGCGTCACACTGCTGCTTCCCAATTTGGGAGAGCTTCCCCAAGATTGTCAGTGGCACCAGAAAGCGATCCAGCAGGGAGGAGTTATGGGCTTGGTACATAGAGAACTGAATAAAATCCTGCATAATGTTGTTCATATCTGATCTACTGAATGGAACCTGAGAAGAGAAGCAAAAGGAGCTGATGAATTCAATTAACTGTGAGTGAGCTCAAGAGTCAGGAGTGGAATCACTCACAAGTAGTCTAGGTAATGTTTAACACTGATACTGATAGACGGACAGTCATTGGTTGGATGCCGTTACCTTGAACACCAAGAAGTTGAACTTGGCAGCATCTCGGCTGCTGTTATAGTTTACCGACGGTGAAGCGTCCGGCACCAAGACGGTAACCTTGTGATTTCTCCTCACAAGCTCCTCTATGATGGTCCGCATGTTCAGCCAGTGGCTGTGCTCACCTGGGAAGGCCAGAAAGTGTCCACTATCAGCTGCAGGGAAGAAGACGCCGAGCACCAGGATGGAAGGAAGGAGAGTAAGAGGAGAAGGGAACTTCATTGTGGATCACACCGCCAGGAAATGGAGGACCCTGTGTTTGCCTATAGCTGAAGATCCAGAGTCCAACCAGAGCAAAGGTTTCTTGGGAGCTGTTCTCTGATTGGACAGCAGCTCAGAGCATCATCATCATCACTTCTAAAATTGTAAACACAGATGAAGAGTTGTCAGGGAGAAAATAATTAAACCTGGTTCCCTATTGGCAGAAGAAATTTACTTTATTACATTAACTAATTCTGGATGATGACAATAGAAGAGTTCAGTCAGAAACAACAAAAACAACCAGTCAGAAAACTGCAGGAAAGATTAGAGCAAAATCTAAAGGTGGAACACACACACACACACACAGGCTGAAATCTGAGCAGGTCAAGGTGTGGTTGCAGGGTAAAGGTTAGGCACATTCTTCTGAGAGGAAAAACAACTTGATTTTTAAGATATGTCGGGCAGAGGTCGTAGCGTAGTTGAATCTGCGTTGTGTCTTGTGGAAATAAAAGCCAGACAACAGCTGAGCTGAAGGCACTTTTAATGCTCCTCCATTCAAATAGCAGAAAATAGTCAAAACAGGCTTTTTCTCATCACAGTGCTCCACAGCGCCTGTTTAACCATGAACAGTACAATTTTCAGCACATGGATGTAGCATTTTCATTAGCAATGTTTCATGTAGCATAAGAGCAGCTAAATATCTGCCAACACAGTTCTAGCACTGTTCAACAAAGATCAAGTGCTCCAGAGCACATTAGTTTACAAGAACAGTAATTAATCTAGCACTTATTATACTTAAAATACACTTATTAAACACAGAAAACAAAACTTCATACCTTCACGGAATCCGAACAGAAAGAGCGCGACGGAGAGGGGAGAACCTTTCACGGACTATAATGGTACAATCCGTTAATTTCTCTTCTTAAACCCCGAACTGACACTCAAAACAACAATCCATGAACTCAATATGTTTGACAGTAAAGATAATAATTCACATTTTCATTCACAACACATAAAATTTCAATAAAAAAATAATAATTTTGAAACAGGAAGTTACCCGCTGTTTTGCAATGGATCTGCCGTCTTTTCAAAATAAAAGCTGCTGGTGCTAATAAAATTTCCTACCGGAATAGCTTCTCAATTGACAATCTAGTGTAATAACATCACACTGCTACACTAGACTTTTTTGTTCTCCGTTATCTTGACCGACAACATTAAAAAAAATCGGTCATGTACTATTTTTATTCGTCATATTATAATCATATTAACATCGCCTATTTAGCAGCATGTTGTGCAGTTTAGTTAATATTCAGCATAAATCCTGATCCCATCACAGATTAAGCAGATAAATGTATCTACATCTAAGCGACTTCACTTAAATTAATGTCACTTCACCCGCTGGGGTCTGAACGCACTTCCTCCTGGTTCCCATCTGCAGAAAAATCTGCGCTAATTCATCAGTCAGTTGGATCCGTCTGATCCAAACAGATCAACTGAACTCTGAGTGTTTTACCCTGTCCGGTGTGGCTTTTACCAGGATTTTTATTTATTTTTTGCGTGGTTTCGCTTCTCCGAAACGGACAGATGATACGTCTGCAGCTCCTCCAGAGCGCCGCTCTCCTGGGTAACGTGCACCAAGGCTCCATTTGTTAAATCCGCTGGATGAGTTACTTCCAGCGGTTCCTCAGTCTTCGCAGTCCGCAGTGGTTGAGCAGCGGACTGCGCATGTTACAGTCTAATTAACGTTTGCATCGTCATTTATTTCCTCAAGATAAACTGCCGGCTCCTCAAATGGATTAACACAACGTTGCATTCTCTTTAGTTTTCTCTGGTCTGTAATGGAGACTTGAATTTAACGCGCCATTTCAACCAAAGGTTTGTAATGTGCTTCCTAACCAGACGCTCCAAAGCGTCCGGTCCATAACTCTTCAACTCGCTGTCAGCTCCGGTCAGAAAGACGCATTTAGTTCAGAGACCATGAGATGATATTCAGAAAGGATTTTTTTAATTAATAGATTTCAGTTGCCTCTGAGACTAAATCTTTGCGTAAAGTCTATAATGTCTGCCCATGTGACTTGTTTTTATTATTTACCTTTAAACACTGATTTAAATATTGCAGTTTTTAAACTGAGCAGTAATT